GATCGTCTTCGTTGTAGACTTACCCAAACCATCATTCTAATGAGTCTTTCCTCCTGTAGTATCCTGATCACATGTGCAAATTATTGTCATTGTGACCTCCCTATCTGTATATTCATAACACACTAGGGTATCCCATACTGGCGCCCTCGACATTTTTAGCATCGTCACGGATAAGCAAACAATCGTTCGAAAAATCAACGCTCTTGTTGCTGAAATCCGACATCAGTACTCTTCACACTTGAAAACTTTCTCCACGAGATGTGCAATGAGATGATGCTTCCAGCTTTGGCATACACTACCCTCATAAAGTTATATTTCGGTTTTCCCTGGAAGTCGTGTAGCATGAAGCTTCTGCGCCCTTGTCTTTGGCATGCTTCCAGTGCTCGCTTTTCGCCAAACTCCAGGTTAAGCACTATGCGGTGGCAACGGTGATTGATCACCCTCACGACGATGGCGACTCGTTAGGCGTGCGGATATTTTGTGGGCGATCATCGCATGTTTTTATAATTTTATGACATCATGGCGCCTTGCAGACTTTTCATTTGTTTCGAAGCCGGCCGTCATCACTGTTCGCGGAGCCTGGAGCAATGCGAACACAATTTTGATGTTTTCTTTCACCATTCTGCAAGTAAGACGAAATCGTGCCGATGGTCGATGGCGGGCGGGCGATGACCGACTGAAAGCCAGTCTGAATCATCGTCATCGACCGACCAACCGACGGCATGGGCACTCATCCATTCACGCATGACCACTGGTCATCGCCTACCGGCCGGTGATGGTCATTGGAATGACAAGCCCCGCCGCTGCCGCTTACACGGCGAGGTGGACCATCGTTGTTGCCGTCGTTCGATTGGTCCGCCAACAGAGCGCGAGGGTGACTATAAGCACGGCGAATGATAATATCAATTTTTTTATCGGTCTAGACGTTCATGGTCAACTGCGATTTTTTGCGCCACAGAGATTTCGTTGCACAAAAGCCTGATTGAAGAAAGACAGTAGATGTTTTACTGTGTGCACGGTTTCCGGTGGCTTGTTACACCGGTCAGCAAAAACAGATCATCTAAGCTACCGTGCCTCGAGCTGCCGTGGAGCCGAAAATCAAATTATTTGTGTGAAGCGCGTAAACTTAAAAATTATTATATAACAACGATCTAAAGCTGTGCGACTCTTCTGAAGGATTGAAAAAGGTCGTGGCCAAAGTAAGATAGAGTCTCACCGGCCTTGGTGAACTCAGACCTGGACTAGTTGAAATTTAAGTCTAAAAAATGTGATTCGCTTGAATTTGGCTTTTGTCCTTTTTCAGAGTGTGAAACAATCCTGAATTCTGCAAAAACATGCGTTTTAGGTATAAAGCAAAGTTTCAACGTCGTCTGAGTTGCTCTGCTGACTGGGTTAACATTCGAGACTTATGGTGTGTAAGGAAGGTCTACAATTCTTGGAGGAAAAAATTTTTCTCACTTCAGAACAGCTCTTCTTACTTGCTATTTACGTGCTTTTCATCAAACGAGGAAGGACGCGAATTTGAGTGAACCGCTTAATCGTATGGCTTCGTGACATGAGTCGTACGGAAGTGACTAATGTTGTTTTGATTTGCAATCAGGAGACAAATGACCACCGAGAACCGTTCAATAAACATCTACTATTCGTAAGAAGGGATGGTGATCAGAACTGTGTGTGATTTCAGCAGTTGCTCTTGATGACAGTGGCATCTTGCCTTGTGAATGGTACATCATCGCGTTGGGGAAGTTTTCGCAGATGACCGAGAGTGAAAGATGTTCATGAGCAAAGTTGTTCACCTTCTCTGGGCGCGAGCGTCATCGTAAAGCGTTGGCCTATGACCTTTGTTAACCGTGTAATGGGGAACGCCGCTGGGGGCAGCGTTATGACGCGAATAACAGGAAGTTTAGTGATTTGACTTGAGTCGGCCATGCCCCCGACCTGGTGGTTCAAAGACCTGAGCGCAACACATGGTGACGAACAGTTGTCGTTCGAACACGGAGCAAAATAGACGGCTGACAGCACGACGATAATGATGATGATTACACTAGTATACAGAAATTAAAAACGGGGAACTTGAGGTAGATAAGGGATGCAGTGAGAGATTAAAGGACCTTCAGTGTGCTGCTCCTTAAGTACATCACTTACTACCCGTATGTGTTGTGCATACTCCCATAAACAACTAGGCAACGGAAGGCAAACCATCACTGTCGACTGACAGAAGGGTTCTGAGAAATGGTAGATGCCCCTGTAGCCAACGCGACATTCAACCAAGGTAACGGGAGCTTGCCTTCAACCCGAGGATCAATCACATTACGACAACAGTGATGTCAGTAGGGAAATGTAACATTGTGAATAGAAGACCAAAAAGAAAAAGGGGAGACAAATCGCAGAGGCGGGAATGGTGGCGACCGGATGTATCGATTTGATCGAAGACGATTCGACGATGATTCGATGGATTCTTTGTCGTCGAATGATTTCTGATTTCTTCTGTCAAGTACCGACCGATCGACCGACCGACCGACGGACGACGACCGTTCTTCTCGTCGGTGTCGCCGGTGTCGCCTGTTATGCATAACATTAGTATATAAATAGTCATTTATCACACGGTTCGTGTTCACACACAGTACAGGTGACAGAGCCGTCGGTGGCACGGCACAGTTAACGACAACCACGGCACTTGCGGCGGCGGCGGCGGCCACGCTACTCTCGCTTTCTTCTACGTCCGGTCTGACCCAATCCATGGCACCAATGCACCAGCAGCACTATCAAAGCCATTACTATCACCAATGCAATCAACTGCTGATGTTCTCCTCGTTGCTGCTGTTGATGACTATCCTGCTTGCCGACAAGTGTCTGTCCCATCCTCTGCTTCGAGACCTCAATTTGCCTCTGACACCAG